CCATTGATATAATATGGGATATTTTCGCTTTACAAGCGGACATGAAATTGAAACGACGATCTAATACTCACTCTAGTTATATGTACATAACATACACACAGGCACACGCACACGCACACACACACGCAAACGCACACACATACACACACACACACATGTATATACATATGGGTGTGTGTGTGGTGAATATTTAAGATACATACTTATAAATAGATAGATTGGTAGATACATATAGATAGACTGAGTATTGTTTTGAGGAAAGGGAGAATTCATTCTTTTATTACGAATAGAATACTCTGAATGAAATAAAAGTATTAGGTGAAGGAGAAGAACAAACCTCACTCATTCATAAATTAAAAGAACATTATATTTAAAGTCAAGGGATGGAGGCCGGAGGGGAACAGGTGTTCTGCGACATGTAAACAAACACCGCCACGTGGGACGAATGCAGGGGGGGGGGGCTATTCGGTTGGGGAGGTGGTAGGGGTAAGGGAGAGGAGGTGGAAGGGGTAAGGGAGAGGAGGTGGAAGGGGTGGAGGAGAGGAGGGAGGGGTGTAATGGGGGGAAGGGAATGGGGTTGGGTGTGGGGGGACACCCACGCTCTGTCGCCTCTCCGTTGCCCGAGACGGTCACACAGTCGGCGGCAGGCGAGTTCCTGACGCTTTAGCAACAGATTTAAAGAAAAGTAATATTAATAAGATACACACGCTGATTTAATCCGGCCGTCAGTGTTTCCCGAGAATGAGCTTCGCCAGGGGTGTGGTGGTAGGGTGTCTCGCCACGGCAGGCTTGGTCACCCTGCCTAAGGTTCTTGAAGGGTATGGGACGTTATCCTTGCCTTCAGCTGCCGCCCCTCCACGTGTTGAGTCTCCTGAGGAAGTCAAGGCTGCAGGTATTGGTCTTTTAATAGATGTTTATGCTGTGTCTAATGTGACGCCGTTATTAGGAAAATTAGATATGCACATTTTTTTTTCTTCTTTTTTTTGTGTGTGTCAGGGTGACAGAAAGTTTGTTGACCTAACGTGTTGCATTATTATTAGAGTATAAGATAATTGGAAGTATTTATTTCTTGAACTTAAATATAAAAGGCTTATGTTTTCAACCAATAAAATACTGGTCAGATTATGAAAATACTTGAATATAGGTTAACAAAATCACAAACTTGTGGTCTAGCAGTCTATTGATCTGTCTCAGAATTCTACTGTCATGGCAGTCTTGTTGAAGTGGAATGGTAGAGAACTAATATAACAGTCATATAGAACACAAAAATGAGCAGGATTGGGTATGAAAGATGTTATGCGCACAAAGGGTCACATAGTAAATTCAGCAGATCTAGGTATAAAATGACACCACGATCATAGCCTTTCGCTCTACAGTAATGGTCAACAAGCACAAGACATGTTTTAGAGAGATGGAGCTTGTAGACATCCCTGGAGATTTATTTTTAGATAAAGAACCAGTTAATTTCTATTTTACTATACATAGACAAGATGTAATGGCCTTTGCCGTAGGGTAAAGCATGGAGGCTATGGTATTGCATAATCCTGTTTCATGCTGGATAACAACCAGATATTTCTTAAATGTCAGATTTTCATTTTTAACGATGAGCTTGATATACATGAAAGTTGGTTCATGATTTTTATTTTTATTTTAACTAAATCCCTCTTCACTTAGCACTGTTCATTTAAAAGGTAAGCAGCTTCAAGGCAAAAATACTACAGAAAAACTGGATGTAAGCATAATAGATTGAAAATAATCAGTCCCTTTATTATTGAATAGTCCCAGAACAGGAACTATAGTGTGTGTGCAAGAAGCATTATTACCATATTTGGCAATGCATATTTATTTCCATCTTATCTCTTCCTCAGTCTCATGCTTGGATATTACCTTTAGAAATTTTGCCTCATACACATAAAGAGTAAACAAGTGAAAAAAAATCTTATATGGTATTTCTCATATATTCTGTTATCATTTCTTTTTGATGGCTAACAACAGTTGTGTTTGTATATTATCTTTATCTGTTACTTGACTAGTTGTTGAAGTATTATGATATAAGAATTACAAATCATTACCCATACAGACAATTTTGAATTTTATTAATTCTGTATTTATTTA